AGCGTGCATAATCCTGAGCTTAACTTTCGCTTTACGAGTTTCATCCATATTTTTCAATATAAATTGAAAAACTCATTAAAAAATGCATGTCATCATCGTAGATTTCTTGCGAGATCAACTCTTTATTTCGTTCGGATATGATTACAACTCATTATTTTGTTCGGATACGATTACAACTCATTATTTTGTTCGGATACAATGTGTTCCATATTAAAAAAAAAACGTCGCCTTCGATGTGACTGCGAAATCGTCTTAAGAAAGCTGCTTCGTTTTAGCTTCGCTCTGATTGGTCGACGCTTATCCCAAACTCGGCGTAAAGTTGAAACCTTGTGCCACGAGCCCTAAACCAGATTCTGTGACGTAGCAGTGACTGGTTGCCTTGGCAACGGAGCTCGGCTTTAACCACTTATGTCCTTTACGCCCTCGTCTGAACGGGGCCTAATACAAACAAAGTGTAAACCCAAAATGAAAAAAGGTATTTACATAGTTGGCTACATTATCGTCATACACCCAACTCTTGATGACAATATAAATATCTTTTTTAACTTTTGGATTACATTGTGCACCATTTCATGTAATTATTCACTGTTTCTCATTTTTATTTTAATGGTTTCTTCTGTATTGAATACGGTATGGATTTGAATATTTTATTTTATATTTACTAAAATAGTCATAACCTGAAAAAAGTACCTATATTATATCTATCTCTTAAAAGGGAACTATGGATCTATGATCATACATTTCAGAGACATCACTAAACTAAGCAACTTAAAAAAATTCTGTCAAGCTAATTTCTTCTTCTATTTTGCAAAAGAAATTAAATACAACACTCGTTCACTGCCTTTGATATCGCTCAAATCTTAAGACAAGTTTTGACTTCAGATACAAAACAAAAGATTAATTTTTGAACTACAGCATCTAAGTGATAGTGATCTGGCAACATTCTATTGCCACATTTTTGAAAATTAAAGACAACTAAAACTGGGATTGCAACATGTGTTTACATTCAATAATTACTATTATGAGCCAAATGTAACAAATAATCAAAATTGCCAAAATACAGTCCCACATATTTAAAATACCACATAAAAATCATATCACGACTTTTTATTCGATTTACAACACTAATTATTAAAGTATGATAATTATATATAAAACTTAAAATTTTTACATACAGAATTAAAATTTGAAAACATTTAATTCTGTATGTAAAAATTTGAAAACATTTTAATTCTATGTTTATAAAAAATGCATATAAACACTTCATATTATTACAAAAGTTACCTTTTTATGAAATTTCTCAAATAAAAGTATTGAAGAGACGAATTAAAAAAAGCATGCATATGATCAGGGAGTGAATTCTTTGACAAATGGATTGTTTACAATATGTGACCATTATGCTTTTCATCTCTTGAATTCAGCTAGAATACAGTAAATGGGAAATCTATTCTGGATGGCAATTTTCATTTGCTACATAACTTTGTAGAGATTAATAACTAGATCATCATAACAGAAAAAAAGATCAGGATTTATTGCATTTATTTTTTATGTTCATCCGCTGAAGGGAAGGGATATCACTGAGAAGCACAGGCTCATAATCATATCAAAAGCATGTCTGAATACAGTTCTATAACCCATAAAACTATAAACAGAACTTGTGCAGCTAGTCCATTCTTTCGAACTTACCTCCAAGGTTGAAATAATAGCAACAGTATTCAACTACTTTATCTAAATAGTAAGTAAATAATACTTATAGTAAATAAATAACAGAATGCTGGAAGTTTTACTTACAGAACTCTAAAATGTTATTTATTTTTTTACTTCAAAAATGAGGACTTGTTTTTACATTTTATAGATTTTCAGATATGCATTAAAAAAGGCAGCAAAAGCACTAGCTATGCGACTCCTTGAACTGAATAATTAAGGAAAATGATACACGTGAGAGACTATCCAGATTGTGACGCAAATTTAAAAGCAGTTTACTCAAGATTTCAATTAAAACAAAAGGCAGAAACAATTATTTTTAAATGCATATAAAATGTAATTTTGTATCACGAAATAAGATTTTATAAACAACTTAGACAATTTAGTTTCAAGATACAATTTTTTTTAAATGTAACTTGCTTAACTGAGCATGAAACATACAAAAGCGAAAATAAAAAATCAATGAAATATATTTTTTAAAGACTTGTGACTATACTAGAAATCATTATATTAATACCAAAAGTGACACAAAATACAATAATCATTATTAATTGATGTTTATCACATTTCCACTAACTTAATTGAAATAAAATAACCATTATTATTGAAAATAGGAGGAAAAAATTATTTGCCTGAATATGAAACAGCTTTACATATACGAACTTGATGAACTGAAGATGTTCTACAAGTATAAGAAAAATAACAAACAGGTTGCTATATAGTAATGCTATATAGTATAAAACTAAATAAATTTTTCTTTTAATGTAAAAATGAGGAATACATGATAAATTACTTTATAAGAGTTTTTACATGTTACACTGCACATACAAAATGAGTGTGGTTTTCAGAAGGACATTCAGAAAGGAAAAACACTACCTTATATTAGGGTTAACATTTAAAATTCAACTGAAATATGATCAGCAAACATTTCTTAGCATCTCAGAATACGTTAGATTTGAAGAAACCTAATAATAACTATATGTAATATTCCTAATGTGAAGGTATTGTTATTTAAGCCCCATAGAGATTTGGAGACATTGTTATATTTTATGTGTTTTAAATAAAGAAAAATAATCATAGTTTTGGCCCTTTTACATCAGAAATGTTATCATAAAATAGCACTTTTTGCTTAATTAAGTTGATCATAAATTTAAAAAAGCATATCATTTACACTGTAGTTTAACAGTGATAAGACTATTAAAAAAGGAGACCATCAAATTTCTCAATACACCTCCCTCGACAAAATATGAATGACATTTTTATACCTTGTAAAAGATGTTTTAAGTTTTTGACATGTTAAATTTCAATATAAAATAACGTTCAATTACTTTTAAATTCAGGGGCAAATTTAATGTCTAAAATATCCAAATTCAATCGAACACTGGTACCATTTCCTAATTTCTTCGCTGAAATAGAATTTGAATAATTTTGAACATTAAGCAAATGTTTATCAATTTCAACACAGCTACTGAACATTTCAATAATATATAAACTAATTTAAAATTCAAATTAATCAGCATTTTATGAGAGTACGTTTTATCACAAAGAAACTGCAAAGTTGTAAAGAAGATGATTTACAAAATTATTTAGATTCCAAGAAAAACTCAAATGGTACATCATATAGAGTAGAACCCATTGCTGTTCCACTTCCAAAGTAATTTAACAAAATGAAAATAGTAAGTATTTTCACACATTTTTTAATTGGTATTTTATGTTTCATTGTTAAATGTAAACTATAGAAAACATGGAACTTCTATTTGTTTACATTATTTTTTCCAAAACTGTTTGTTTTTGAGCCCTGTTTCAAGCTTTATATATTGTATTATCTTTATTATTTTCATTTATGTTTTCTCTTTTACAATAAAAACGACATAGCAATCTTTCAATGCAACTGATAACAATTTTGATATTTCCATGAATATTAAAAAACTTGAAATCGAATCCGAGCAATCATCCTAAGTAATATATATACTGAATATAAATCTATATAGATTAAATTATAATTTTTTATGTGAAGTTTTTATCAGCAGCACATATGCAGAGTTGAAATGTGCTTTGTGTTTAACAGTCTAAAATAATAACAAAGTATATATAATATTTATGGTTGAAACTAATCAATGAAGAAAATTAAGTTACTAAAATCTGAACATAATGCAGTAGAATAAAATTTTAAGACTATTCCATGCGTCTAGAAGGAATATTAATATTTATTCTGGTGAAGAACTCTAGAAATGTATAATAATATCTTTGTGAAGAACTGGCATTGCATTCTACATACAATATTAAACAGTACAAACTGCGTAACAAACACTAGTTTTCAGCTATTATGTATTAAAAAAAAAAAAAAAGGGAATTGTTTATCACAAAATTTCAGAAAGCATTAAATTATAACAGCAATTCAAAATTCATTAATGTGCAATAGACTATAAAGCTATTTTTTTTTAATTGACTGTTAAAATTATTACAACTTTCAACAAAACACTTTCTAAATTTTATTAAATGGAAGGGGGGAGAGAAGTAAGTATTTTTAATGGAAAATAAAAATGTGTAGCATTCATTCAAGGTAGTACATTTAAAAGTATTTTAATTCAGATTATAGCAACAAACCATTCCAACTAGGTTTTTTCAGGCACTTAATATTTTCTAAATATTGATTCATATCATATACCATAATGGTTCAGAAATCTTACATGCATAAGTTATAAAATAATTCAAAGATACATCATGTTCAATTTATATATGAGAGCATTAAATTAACATTCTAGAATTTTAAATACCATAAACAAAATAGATGAGATAATGTAAAATCATATATGGATTTGTAAGCTGTTTTTTTTTTTAAGGGGGGGATGCATCATCATCATAAAATAACATCTAAAGTATTTAATTTCATACAAAATTACATTTTAGGTAAATTATCAATATTTGCTATATCACTATTTGTTTAAACCATTAATTTGAGAGTCGGAGGTTTGTGGCTAACATAAGTATAATATATAATATTTGTGGCTAACATAAATATATTTGAAAATTTTCCAAATTGCACTAAATTTGGAAAAATTTCAAATGGCATAATAATAAAAACTTATTTTCATATGCTCAAACAAACAGCTATTCATCATTTTATATGATGCTCTGGAAAAATTTACATTATGTCCGCAGTCTTGTTTGGGGAAGTTCTAAAACATTTCAGAGTTACTAAATTCTTCCACAATAAAAAATGGAAGATGTATATTTGAAAAGTTTTAATCATTTTTTAAAGATGTGCTATTTTAAATACCATAAAAAAGAAAAAATATTTCAAACAACAATTTTATTTTTTATAAGATTTCCATAAATCTATTAATTTCAAAAACCAATACAGAAACATAACAGAATATAATCACTAATAGTTCAAACTAAGCTCTCAATACACAAAATTAAATGCAGATATCTTTTTAGCCCCCTAAAAGAGAATTCTTATTTAAACAATCCAGCGAACGCAATTTTTTTGAAAATTTTTTTATTATTTACTTAAAGTGAAACAAAGCAATTTCATAAATATGTAGCATGTAAAACAGAAGTAAATAAATACTAATTGAAAATTGAACGTCAAATTAACTGGAAATACGTATGCTGACTTAAAAGCCATTCTTCAGTTTTAACTAGCGTTCATGAATTCTGAAGAAAAAATATAAATATCACTTTTCAGCTTTCAGCATGAATCATTTTATATACAAAGTTTCTAATGAAAACATTCTACAATAAAATTTTTGGCTGATAATGCACAACACTCAGCAGATGGAAACGTCACAATACATCAAAATCTATCGGAATTCATATATCTGTATACTATGCTCTGGTACATGAGTTAATGTAAGAGATTGATACCTACAAAAGAAATGGAATAAATGTATCTTACATTTTTTATACATTACAGTAAATATAAAGAATTAAATACTCCAGAACAGATTATTATACATAATAATTATTTAAATGTTTAATACCATAAGATAAAAATAAATTATGAATCAATTAAATAAATGCTTGAGTATGATAACAGAAATTCTGATGCATGTCTTACAGTAAAACTATTTTCCATTTCCTGAATTAGAGATTTATTCAAAAATGCTACAACTTATTAGCATACTCACATCAATGCATGACAGGTCACAGTGCAGTAACTTCAATATGGCAAGAAATCTCATTACTGCAATAAGTCCCTGAACTGCTTTGCTTAGGAGCTCTTAATTTAGAAACTTTTAAAACCTGCATTTTATATCAAACTTGTAAAAACTTTTAAAAAGACATGCGAGCTGGTGTTGTTCTATCAGCTCTAATACTAATATCAGGTAACACTAATGAGCCTCAGTGCAGCCTCAACATGTTCACACAGTTCATATTTGAAAAAATCAAGATGACAAATAGTTAAAACATATCTTCAACAAAATGACAGGAAGGGGTGGCGAAGAAAGAAGAAATTACGAGCTATGGAGAAATAGATCATGATTACTCCCACATATTACTCTTGTCCATACATTGCCTTTGATTTTTTAACTTTAGAATCAAATTGGAATGCTTATCCAGTCTTCCTAATAGCATGAAATATTTTTCACAATTTTCCTTTTTCAAAAGTTCGAGTTTTCTTTGAAAGAATGAAGGGTATACACGACTGATGACAACAAGGAAAATCTGTAAAGAAGGCTAGGCACAATTCAATAAGGAAGCTTATTAAGAGTGCTTCAAATATAGGGAATAGAATTAGAGTGTGGTATATCACAAAAAAAAAAAAAAAAAAAAAAAAAAAAAAAAAAGAGAGAGAGAGAGAGAGAGAGAGAGAGAATCCAAAGGTTAAATAAATTACACATTCAAAATATTTAAAAAAAAAAAAAAAAAAAAAACCACTGCATTTTTTAAAAATAAATCCTTAACATTAATTACATTTCAACAATTAGATTTCAGAAAATAATGATTTCTTTACAGATAAAATAAATAATAAAAAACTGATAAATATCAATGCATTTTTTTAAAGGGAATGGATTAAAGTGAGCAAATCAGATCATGCAAAAAATTCATTTTTTGCTATTTCTACCCTTCTTCCTTTCAATAGTTATTCCATACATTGTAAAATTATCTCCTCAAAAGATTACGAACACTTTCAATGTAAAAATCATCATTTCTTAGGATGATACTTGATAGCTAAAAAATTACTAAAATAACAGCTGTCAAAAAAAGCTTAACATACCTATAAAAAGTTTCTAATATAACTTTCATAAGAAAAATATATGACACATATTTCATACATTTAAGTGTACAGCAGCATAACCATGAATAATCCAATATAAAAAGATGACAATATGACATTAATAAATTGAATGGCAACTTCTGCAGAAAAAAACTGAAAGTGAGGTGAAGGTAAATACATACTTGGAAGAAATTTTACAGAAATAAATAATAAAAAATGGTTATAATATGTTTGAAATAACACTTACAACAAATAACCAAATTTTTAATAAAATATTTAAACAATTACCATTCAGAGCTTCTGTGATAATAATAACCTTCAATGGTTGATGTAGATTTTTGGAAACATATATAATAAAATCCAGCAAAAGATGCACCACTAATGTCTTTTATTGTATGATCAGGGACTAGAAAATGTTCCTGGAATAACATAGGTTTACAAATTGAAATAATTTCTTAAATACCATACTATTTAACACATTAATGATAGGAGAAAACAGATGCAGAGGAAGACATTTTCAATCATTTTACAGTTTTTATTTTCTTCCTATTATACTACTAAAATATAATAAATACTACATTTATTAATATAATAAAAATCCTTACTTATATATCTACTATTATTATATCTATTAAATATCAGTATTTTATATATCAGAATTTAAACTGTAAAAAGGACTAAAAACTGTAAAAGAAATAAAAAAAAAAATAAATAAAAAAAAAATGACATCTAATATTTAAAAAATATATTTATTTACTACAATTCTTCACTCATTGGTAGACATGCATATTAAAGCACCAAAAAGAGTTTAATTTCAATATATGCTGTCATTTCTATTTACGAACAATTTCTCAAAAGTAATTTCACATTGACAAATTTTAGGTACCCAAGTCTTCAAATACAACAAAATCATAAACATTCATACCTTATCCAGGAATTTCTACCAGAGAAATAGAATGAATTTAATGATCAGAATTCCATTCAAATGATAGTACTAAAGAATGGCTAACAATAATAAATACTATTCATTAAATTATAGTCTATGTTGTGAATTATGTGTGCTATTCAGTTTCATTAAAAGTAAATTCCTTTCATGGAGAATGTAATTAAAAAAAGAACAGAACATCAACAGGGGCAAAATTTTCCTTCCTGGAATTCATAAGAGCATTTTCTCAAAAGATTAATCTTTTATTACTTATACAAAGCTTACACCATTGAATCGACTACTGTGACTATTCTTAAATAAGTGAAAATAATGTCTTTCTTTTTCAGTAATATTTTTACTGGGGGGGGGGGAAACAGCAGATTCTTGATATTGATTTCATGTTTTAGTAAAATTAATTCATGAAGTTTGTTTGGAAAGAAAATCAGCATTTGAAGCAAATAGCAATACAATATTTCCAACTTTTTCAATAAATTTATACAAAAATAATAAACAGAAAGAAAGTAATAATAATAATTTACACACACACACACACACACGCAAAAAAAAAAAAAAAAAAAAAAAAAAAAAAAAAAAAAAAAAAAATTCTGCAAGCATGCATTTTTTAAAGAATTTTCATAATAAAATGAAAAATAATGGATGGGATTAATCATCTATAGGATCATACACAACGTGCATGATCACTCTTAACTTTCGCTTTACGAGTTTCATTCATATTTTTCAATTTATTGTGAAAACTCATTAAAAAATGCATGTCATCCTCATAGATTTCTTGCGAGATCAACTCATCATTTTGTTCGGATACGATGTGCTCCATATTAAAAAAAAATGTCACCTTCGATATGACAGCGAAATCGTTTAAAGAAAGCTGCTTCGTTTAAACTGTGCTCTGATTGGTCGACACTTATCCCAAACTCGGTGTAAAGTTGAAAACTTGTGCCACAAGCCTTGAATCAGATTATGTGACAGAGCACAGACTGGTTGCCCTGGCAACGCAGCTCGGCTTTAACCACTTAAGCCCTTTATGCCCCCGTCTGAACACAGCCTTAGTGAGTGACTCAGCACTTCAGTCATTAAATGAGGTGGTGCACCATCCTGCTGCAGAATAAAGCTAGGCATATTCTCTCGTAGCTGCGGCAGAAGCCATAATTTGAGCATATCGAGGTACACTCCTCTTGTCACAGTGGTTTCAGAAAAGAAGAATAGACCACAGATAGTTTCATGAGATATAGCAAACATATTAACCTTATGGGAATTGTGTTGGTATTGCACTGGTGCATGTGGATGTTCAGTGCAAAAAAATTCTCATGTTATGCTTATTTACTAATCCAGAAATAGGGAAAGTTGATTCATCACCGACTACTAACTGTTTCAAAAATTCATTGTCATCCATGGCCTCATAGAAAGATAATCAACTTAGTAGATCTTTGGGTTTCAGATGTTGCACCAAATGAAAACGATACTGTTTCATGAGAACTCTTCATACAGTTTTCTGTGCTACTCCTAGTTCTAATCCAGCTTGATATGTCGATTTTTGAGGGCTTCTCACATAGCTGACTTCAATACGTTCAACTAAGCTTCTTCTACTGAAGGATGACCTGTTGATTTTCCTTTACAAATGCAGCATGTCTCTTGAAATTTTTAATACCAATGAAGAATTGCCTTGTTATCCAGTGCTGTCTGTCTATATTTTGTTCGGAAGTGGAGCTGAACAGGGACAACAGACTTGCTAACATGAAACTGAAGCTTTTGCTGTTTGCAACAACTGACTTTTGCTGTTCTGTAGCCATTTTACGATGGCACTGTTTTTAGTTTTTCGAAGACAATTAAACTTCCAGTGCCATCTATTTGGAAATATTTAAAACTTGCTTATATTACCTCTACATGTATATACATTTTTAATGAATATTTTATAACATTTTGCATAGTAGATTTATGAAAATGGGGCATTCATTTTGACCTACTCTGTATTTTAAGATGGACACACACATATATATACTGAAACAGTTTGATGGTAGTGTTACCACCAATGTAATGTTTTTTCTTTTAATGACGAGTACTAGCCTTTTCTAGGCTCTGGCCAGATTTAACGGTCCTTTTATTTTGGAGGCACCTAACAGGTGGCCGCCATTACCTCCTGCGAAGGGACAGACAATTTACACTCAAGTCATTTCTGGGATTCAAATCCAGGTCCTTCAGTATGACAGTCAGAACCACTAACCCCTTTCCCGCCTGGGCAGCTACATATATAGTATGAAGATGCAGTAAATGAAAGATGAAGCTTAACTTACACAAATTTTAAATATTTTCCTTGTTAATGTTGCAGAATATGTTAAGATTAAATCTGAAATATAACATACTGGTTCTTAAAGCTTTAACAACATACATAACAGAATTTATCATACGTTTTGTGTGTTCTCTTTTGCTCACATCAACTGCATAGTCAAATAATCTGAAACAGACTTTTGAATAAGAGCATTATACCTTTTTACATTATTAAATTTTCAAGTTTAATTTTGGCTGTCTAGAATAATAAAGCAACACAGCGGACTTTGTTTTAAGAATTTCACGCGCTGACTGAAAACATTGTGCTTTCATGTTTCAGGACCTTTATTTACAACAGACAGGATTTTTTACTTTTGAATGAAAACAACCATTTTTTAACTCTTATTTTCATTTATTAATTTATACATATTTTCTTTTAATACTTTCAGTTATTATTAAGATGTAATATAGCTGTTAATCATAATTCTTTCATGTAACTTAAAAATTAGCAAATATTTAACCTTTTAACTAGAATGGAACATAAATATCCTGTTAGACTTTTTTATTTACCTTGAGGAAGGGAAAGTCTCATATGTTGATTTTGATGTTTGATCTCTTGATGTTTTCATTATTTTAAGTGAAAATATTAAACACCCTAAAATAATTAATTTTTTGGTCCATAAATAATTGCATATTTGAAAAATATCTTAAAATTATTTTATTTATGGGTTGTTAGTATTCAGTTACACCATTTGCATACAAATTTTTACCATACCAGTAAAATGTAAATTTTTCAATGAAACATTTTTTAATTTTGCATTTGAAAACTGCTGGGTAAAATAATAACCAAGAATTTGAAAAAGACTAGAAAAGAAGTGCCTGCACTTCACATCTTTGAAATGCTGACATTTATTAAAACATACAAGTCTGGGAACATAACCCTTTTATGCCACAAATCATTATCGATTTTACATAAATTCAGCAGCAGTTTTCTTTTACTTTTCTTTCAATCTATTTTTACTTTTTTTGGTAATATTCAACCACATAAAAACAAAAATTAAATATATTTAGATGAAAATAATGCAAAGCAAAAATCTTGCTCATTTAAAGTATCTAGAGGTAAAATGCATATGATATGTAAAAAGAAATACACAAAATTCCTACTTTGTGATTCAGTTATTTTCCCTTCAATAACATACACAAATTTTTAATACAGTCACAATTTTGCAAAAGTCTTATCTATTATCAAATGGGGACAGAATAAATTACAGCAATTTTCCCTGCTAAAAACTTAATTCTTGTAATAACATTCTAAGCATAAAACAGATCTATAAGTAGGATACATTATTATTAAACATAATTATAAAATAAATTCTATAGTAAAATCAACTTCGTAAAACTTACCAAGCAATTAATACTAATTAATAATGATAATAAAAAATTTCTGAAACATTTATATTTGACACTTATAATATACCCACATATTTTCAGGAGGATTAATATTTTATCCCATATTATTAGTTACATTTTATTTACATAAAGCTAAAACTTTTTTTTTTTTTTTTGATTCTTCCTTTTATGCCTTGTTTTGTCATATACTTGCTCAGTACAGAGGTTTAGTAAATACCAGGCAGTCCAAGTGGTAGAGGTTAAAATGTGAAGTAAAATCATAATCAGCATGATTCAGAACAGAGGGCAGGCTGTTGTCACAGCTACTGCTTGCCTGGAGAGAGACCTGATCAGAACAGACATATAAATGCCTGGCTCTGCCATTGCTGATAAGTATTGAAAGTTAATTATGTTGTGAATGTTTAATCTAGCTGGTGTCATAGCTTCACATAGAATAGCTGCAGTAATAAACCAGTTAATATGCTGTAAGGTTCCAATACACTGCTAAAGCATTAGAGGTGATAAATTGTTTTGTATTATTTTAAGTCTTACTACTAGCTGTAAGGAATAAAGTTTTACATTAATTTTTACATTTCTGTACTGTATCTTGTGCCCACTATAAGGCAATACTTCACCTTACATGTAGAAATAATGAGCAGTTAGTTACAGATACTTAAATTAGGTAGTGAGATACCCTTAGTCATCATATATTTACATGGTTTAAAAGTTTTTTTTTAAAACAAATTGTCAAAAATTTTTTAAAACAGTTTTACTGGAAGAATTAAAAAAAAGGGAGGTTCAGATTTTAATTATTGCTAAAAA